ATTACGTCGTAGAAAGATAACATGCGATGAACGAGACAAATCAAGAGCCGGCTGGTAAACACGTTCTTAAAAACACGCTTATGAAATCACTATAAAAGAAAGATAGCCCAGAATAATTAGAACGGCATAATTGTCATGCGGGGTCTCTGCTAACTTAAGTGAGATTAGCTAAATTGGTCAACAGCAAACATGGACTTGGGGTAAAGCGCCCAGGTTCATCGTGTATTAGGCACAATAAGGATCAATATAAGGGTGAATATGGAGCAATCGTTATACATCTATATATATAATATTAAAATAGGCGGATGATGGAAAATTCGAGGGGAAAATATGAACGCCATATCGGATGTCGACCGTTAACTTGCGCAAGCAATATCATTGGTTGTCACACATGGTCTGGACGGAAATACCAAAATGGTCAAAATAAGAGGAGGGCTTCTTCAATATTGTGGTATAGTAGTGAATCTCCATGCAAATTGACAAAGTTCTGCGTTTTGGTTTACTACAAGGCCAATTTAATGTTGATGCCCGTTATTATAGTAACGTTTACCTTATTGATATAAATGTGTATCCTTTCACAACACGATATTACACACAGTTTTGCCGTACTGCCATATTCCTAAACACCGATCACCAGAAATTTACTCTCGTTTGTTGTCATTGTGCTTCAGGCCAAAGACGCCCCGCAGCTTCGCGCTCATGTCTACCGTTTAATTATGAAGCAACGAACTATTGCAATTCGTTTATCGGACTACTCGGGAAGCAGTTCTACCACTCGCTGAATAGCGCTAAGTGGCCTCCAGACACTTCTCGTTCTAATTGTCAAGTAGATGCAAACTAGACGAGTATTGAGTGCTGTATGCGGCGCATGGGAAAAACGACATCTTTGAGAAACAGACGCATACCCGCGCGAATTCAAAGCACCAACGTCGATTGCTTCTCTGTGACGCACAAAAATAACGTACGGTGTTGTATTTACAGGGTAGGGTTTCTGCTATACAAGACAAGATGAGGCATGCCTGCAAGCTAGTAGTAGTGCGCGGCAAGAAAACGCGCCAAAACTCAGCATATGGGCTTAAACAGCAAGAGTATCAACAACCGCTGTAACATGTCTCATACAAACCGAATTTTTTGCTTACTTTTCAGTCGTCTACCCACTAGCCAAAGTTCCCAAAAAACGTCGCCCAGTATAAAGTTCTCACAAAGATAAAAAGTAACGACAACGACAATAGAACAGCACCACTATTGAGCAAAACTAATTTTGGTTGTTAAGATACATCGCTGTCGATCCGTTAGAAACTGACCTGTTGATTGATTGAGCCTGGACTGCTTTTAGGGAGCAAGCGCAATTTTTACAATCGGTCTGTTCAAGAAACAGGTTCGGGATTAAGACGCTTTCGTGCTTAGGCAAACATATACGTGGGGTTTGGTCTGGATAATAATAACTGGAACATATTTTAACACTCGTCTCCATGTTTACAATAGGATTCACGCACTGGATATGGATTCGGTGCTTGTCCTGGTGTCCAGGTGTCTGTCGTAGGCTAAGAATCATATCTTAGCTATAATTAGCACACCGCTATATCTACATATATCTCGTAAATTACGCATATAAAATCAACATCAATGTATGTATACACAGGATGGCCGGAAAGGTTTGTCCAAGTAGAGATGGTTGTCCGGTCACATTTCACACGCGTTAAATCGAATACGAGTCGTGTCAGGCCGTTGTTGGTGTCATTCGAAAGCCGAGAGTTCACAATAGTAGTATACTAAAAGACGACTTTTTGCAAAAACCTTATATCCTTTATTACAGTAAAGACACAAATTTTATTTTACATATGCTATTTATGATCAGAATGCGATATTGAGGGAAACGGAGTGTTTCGGTGCAAAGTATGCTCGGAAATACGGAAAATATTAATGAAATCATTGCCGAGTTAGGCAAAAATAGTCCCAAATTACTTGGGAAAAAAAATTAGCACACACAAAGAATACACTCGACGAACTTTACAGAAACGCTATGAAATTAAGCCAGATGGCTGTTGATACAGGATGGATCACATACGACAGTGTTTGATGAAATAGGTTACTGCAAAGCAATTGATAGAGACATCTACCATCAACAACTTACCAGACTACGACATGCCGTTTGAAATCGACCGCTCTTGATCGATATAAGCGTATCGTTCACCATCTTATCTATCTTAGCACAAACCCGGCACAAACTGATAGAACTTAACAGGGAGAAGCACTGTATAGTCCAAGCCCTGTACAATCAGACTATTGTTTGTTTCAATCTCTGCAGAAACTTCAATCGAAGCACCGAAAATCAATTTTTCTAACTTTCCATCAGAAACCACGAAGTTTTACAATGATCGAATTATTGTATTGTCAGAAAAATGACAGATTACAATGTCGAGTTTTTGTGTCAGTTTTAGTGGTCTATATATATATAAATATTTATTAAAGCTATATGTGACAGTGATCGCTACAGGCAAGGGACACTAACGCGTGCAAGTTCTTCGTTACGAAGAACTTGCACGCGTTCTTTCTTGAGTATTAAAGCCTACTCCCCGCTACCGTACCTACCTCGCTCCAGCTGGAAAGGGCTCAGTCATTTTAGAATTTAATATTCACTACGGTTTCAACGACGAAACTATATATGTAATATAACCTATTTGTATTTTATTTTGACAACGCCACATCTTAGATTTGTTTCTGTTCCGTTTGTAACGTAACTTGGTCGGCCTTATTAATAGATAGCAAAGCGCTGCATACGTGTCTGGTCCAGGAGCTTCCAAGCGATCGCGCTCGTAAACTATTAAGGTCCTACAGGACGACATCTTGACGCAAACGTGACTTTTTTTTCACTGATTAACTCACATTCCTCAAGCCCTTCATGGATTGAATGAAAACAACATTGCGCCCAGCTCACACCACCATATGGAACGTATCGTAGAGCACAGCTGATAGTTCCGGAACTATCTCCAACCTACACGATTACAAAGATTTTCACATGTACGGCCCCAAGAAATGTTTCGAATCGGACTTAGAGACCTATTTTCGATCGGTAGCCTGCCACCCTGCTTAGTTTTATCCTATTGCGAGCAAAGCGAACAGTTAACTATTTTCTAGGAAGCAACGAGGCGACCGATTGCCTAAATAATTTCCTTGGATGTGCATGGCCATAGATAGCTTTGTGTAAATGTACGTGTGTTTTTGTTTGTTCCTATAAGCATATGTGTGTGGATGTGTGTGCGTATTTGTTTGTTCCTATGTGCATACGTGTGTAGATGTGTTTGTGTGTGTGTGTTTATCCATGCAATCGTCAGACACACACGCGCCGTCGGGCGTTGCTATGTTTGGCATTGACTACGGGTCGTCAGTTGCCGTCGCGCCACACAGACGCCGACCACTCACTTACTCTTGATGACAGTTAGAAAACAAGATGGACGGACATGAGCGCATGGTTACGCGTTGCTGTGGGCTCCACCGTACCGTGGATACACCAAAAAGCAAACAAAGGTAGTTCGTCACAACTCTAAGGCACTCGAAACAACTTTGGTCATTGGACGCTTCTGGTACTGCGATCGGAGACGCGCGTATATTTCTCCATCTTATAGGCGTCAAATAGTTGTTAGCACAGTCATTTAATTATCGGCCAGTCAGAGACAACAACAAGTAACGCGGATTGAAAGATGGGCACGTGAGGATATTCACCAGGTACGAAACGAGTCGACTGTGACAATAGAGAGGGATATAATGCTCATGATATTGATGGTGCTGCCAGTGCTGATAGTGGCAATGTTGTCGAAACCGCTGGATCACTGAATACGCTGAGCGTGCGTAGTGCGCATGTCAGGGGCCAAATAGGGGAAAAAAAACAGATTATAGTAACGAAAGTGTGCTATGAGTGACAGCGAGATCCCAACAGTATTTGATAACGTTGAAACGTCGCAGCGGTGGCGTCAAGATACAGAAAGGTATCAACGACGACAACTGATATTACTTTGGCTATTGTTTTGGATTTCGGCTGATTTCTGCCGCTGCATCTAATGTGCGTGGCCTCTTTTGCGTAGGCAAGGGAATTTCGGGAAATTCTGCGGGAAAAACATTAACCTCTGTACCTAGCATGAGAAATCTAGTGTGTGAGAAAGCTCTCGATGATTTTAGGCACGGTCGTAATGCGTCTAAAGATAGCTTTGGAAGCTCAGGTTCAGAACCGCTTGATTTAAAAAATACACGAAGTGACTTACTTATATTTATATATATTTATTCGAATAAACTGCCCGAAATAATCAATCTACCATCTAATTAGATTAGACGTATCGGAACACGCCGTTGACTAACTGCTTGACAAAAAGTGTTGTACATAAGAAGCCGTCTTTGTTTATCTACTCAAGGACTCATATATGAGTGAGAATAAAGAAATGAATAAAAAAAAATAATGAACCAGTGTGTATTCAACACGATCGCTTTTGATGCAAGTCTTTACCCAACTTTTTTGAAATATCTACCATACGCTTGCAGAGTTATTGAAATTAATAATGATACTAAATGGAACCCTATTAGGTGGCAAAAAGCGCTCAAAAAATCCATCGTCATATATAACTATATTGTCGGAAACATATAGGATATTAACATAAGTTCTCAATGCTACGACTATACATAGTACATTCCTATGTTCCATATTGACCTATATGTCTATATCATTGTGATAAGACTATATTTTACATTATTTGCAGAAAATCTGTATGTATGTCCTGCTTTTTGTCTCTTTACTGAGTTTTTGCTTTAGAATTGTTCATATGATACTTTTCTATAAAAGAAGCCCTAAAAGTTCAACATGTTGATACCTCCGAAAAAGTTGTGATCCTTGTTCAAACTATATGTAGTATTGATTTATATATATATATATATATATCGGTTATAAAGCAAATGAATAAATATGTGCGCTGCTTCCGCATTGTGATGTTTCGTATTTTCCAATTCCAGGTTGCCGGCTGCACGAGAAATATTCGGTAATACTTTTTATAGGTGAACTTATATATGTATATATAAAAAAAGAAGAAGCACGGGGCGTCGATTAGGCGTTGCGATTGATAGCAGCGCCAGCGCTTTCGGACGCGAGCGTTTCAAATGACCGCGCTCAGCCCAGATGGCAACAACAGTTGACTTGCTATAGCTATAGCAGAGACGAACGTTAGAGGGCGATGGTGACGGGGTTACGCCTAAGTAACGCCAACCTTATGCTGTCCTCGACAGAAAGAAGTTACGTCAAACCATTTAGGGCTGGTTAACGGTCGCGCTGCATCGGATGCGTAGACGATAACGGAAAGGCGGACATATTATGACACAGCGTCAACGGCACTAGCAACAAAGATCCTTCGCTACTGTTGTGAGGGCTGCCGTCGGCGTTCACGTTATTGGTTGCCACAGTTAACTGTGTGCACGAGTTGCTCTTTCTTCCTTTGTGGATAACTCCGACCAGACGCTAAAAAAGACGTGAGATAGATACATAGACGTGTAGCTCTACGCAGTTATATTGCATAAGGCTAAAATGAAAAACAGCATATACTGTTATTGCCACTATTTTCGATGGGATTGCCGTTGCTTGCTGTGACTGTTGTTGTTACGGAGAGTTTGGGAAAATGAAGAAAAGTCATCGTACCACTTTGCGCTATGGTGTAGGGAGTCACCGATTCACAGAACCATGAAGTGCCCTAGCAAAAGAAGTCGACGCATCAACTTATGCTTAATTCATTAAACTCTTTATGTAAACGCTCTATATTCCGGCCGGGACAAGGGTAGATGAGTATAACTGGACAATAAGGTACGTTATACCAAAGGGTATGCACTAAGCTATGTTGAGATGAGGCAGATATTAGAGAGACGATATATTTTAACGGCCAGGAAGAAACCCCATATGTATACAACTCGACGCCATAAGCGCTGTAAGATGGAAGCCTACGGGGAAAGTAGAGACAAGGGTATACCCGTAAAGACTGCTTTGAGCTATTGACGGACAGCGTTTGTCTATAATTACTTATAGACAGGTTAATACGCAGTAGTAAGATATCTTCATAGATAACCTTGTTTCTGTAGAGAGGATAAAGCAGCGTTTTGGAAGGAACAATAAAGACCATGTGTCCATAACGTTGGCGCTGCCTGATTGCTAAAAACAAAGGGTAGCAATGACGGATAAGACTTGCATACTACTTTTTAAGAGCACAGTGCCAAATGAGCTATGCTTAAACTATGATTGAAGATATCGTTAGCATATACCGAATGGTTGACATCATACTGCCAGTTTTACGTGTGAGTTTCTTTCATTTCAAAACCGCTTTATAGATACAACTGAAAAGAGAAGAGCGGTTTTGCTAGCAGAAATTTATCAAAGTGTAGGTACTTCAAAACAAATGACAAACGCCTAAGGATAGGATCAACCTATCCGAAGCTACTTTTGTTGTACGGCTGGTGAAGGCGCGACTTCGTCACATTAACGAGCAGGAGACTGGACACGAAGCTCTTTGCCCAACTAGTTGTAATTCTCATTCTCTAGTCTTTTCTTGCTTAATTGATTTAGTCTAAGCTGGGTCTTGTTGCCCCTAATATTATTCGATAAGTTGCACGATCGCTAGAAATACTCATTACTTTCCCTATGGGTTTGTTATTACGGGTCGTACGGAGCTGTGATTATTGAAACTATTTAATTGCTAATATTTGAACTTTAAAAACTTATTTATAAGCTTAAACGAGACAATTATTTGTCATTTTACGTAACAGAGACCACATCCCTAATTCTGAGCCCGTTTCATTGTCCTCTCAACCGATTAGTGGTACAATTTTATACCTCCAATGATCGTTTCGCGGTATTGCTAAATTGATTTTAAAATCCACACACAAGCCCTCTCTCACGAGACGGTTTTTCGCTATTCTTTTTTCCATGAACTTTGTCAAACTTAAAGATACCTGGTATAACTGTACTAAATTGCTGTAGTTAGCTTTACTGACAAATGTAAAGCACTTTCTGTCCACGTATATTTTCTTCCCACCTACTATCGACCTCTAATGAAACTTAGGGCAGATTTGAAGTGCAGCAGGACGGGAACTGGATTTTGCCCATTGTAACGTTCTTGAATTAAGCCAATGACGATATAAACAACGAATCTCTTTGCTTAGGGTTGCAAACGATTAGGTAATGAGATGGGACATGTTCTGAGCATATGTTTAGACAACACAACTAAAAATATACTCATTCATGAAGTGAAACCAAACAATTAAGTTCTACGCGCGCAGAAGATTTTTTTGAAAAATACAATAAAATTTTTTCAATTATTCAAAAATTACAATACAAAAAAATATGTATTTTAAATCCTTAAATCGAAAAAATAAAAAATGTGTATTGACAGATTTATCAGAACAAATTCCTGACGCACTGTAGTGCTCTGGAAGCTTCCATTAACATATTGTAGTACGCCTTGAAGCAAGCTTTATGTTTCAGTAGCAACGACCAAAAAACAAAACACTAGGAAAAAAAGCTGGAAAACAAGCAATACGGAAAAGTGTACAAGGTCAACATTTATTGTCGTAAAATCCATAAGTAACGGCGTCGTTCGTACAAAATAACGTACACATACAGGTATCAACTGTTTCTCCACGTCCTAGCCTTGATCGATGACAAGTAATAACCGCAAGTATTTCCGTGATAGATATGATTTTTTGCTTATAGATATGTCCCATGATTGAAATACCCATCTGTGGATAAGATTTTATCGGCTCAACATGTAGTTAATGAACGATTTTTTTTCTATTATAAATATAGATTCATGCAGCTCGGGCGCGCTTGTCAGCATGTATATGTTAGCATATCAATTCAAGATTGATTATTGATGCCATCTGTGATAACGCATTTGTGTAAATCAACCTTGTTCCCCATAATAAGCCTACTTTATGCTATATGAGATAAATAGGATGCCAGGCTTAAACCTAAACTGTTCATAAAGGACAGACTTGCCACAAACACTGTGTGCAAGTCTCAGGAGTTGTGCCCTTTTTAGGCTCACTATCCTATCTAGAAATGATTTAAGCAGTAGACTGTGGTTATACAGCGTCGTTTGTTTACTTCTTTTGTCACATTGTCCAAACGCCCTCCTCATTTAAGCTCACTTGCCATAAAGTGATTATAATAAGATTATAATAAGCAGCGACTCGGTTTACGATGAAAAGGAGTCTGGACTAGCAATGCCCGTATGTGTCCGTAAAAAAACATTGTCATCACGGTTATCAAAGCACCAAAGGTGGTTGGGTCGGTAAAGGATATTGGGATTCGAGGAGGGGGTATAGATACTATGAAACAGTTCATTTTGAATTTCTTCATAAAATCGTATGCTGTGTGGGCTTATCTTGTACAACTAGTGCCGGTTGCTAGGGCTTTCAAACAAGCAAGAGCACAATTTAACGAAGTACCCGATTAAATACCACTCAATAACAATCGAAAGGAGATACAATCAGCTACCAGGAATGGCAGTGGGGAAATTTTCAGCCAGAAACTCTGTATAAAAGTATCTGTCTGCAAATCCATTATTAGCATTAACCAGAATTTCTCGAGTTCCATTCATTGAGGCGTATTAATGCACAGGTATGTACATATATCTATACTTATTTACAAATCCATGTAACTTGCGTGTTAACTGCATGCTAAATCATGATACCACTCTGTAAACAGCTGCTTTTCAAACCCCCAGGTAATACAGGTTATTAGGAAACGTGTGACGGGGTTCTTAGAGTAGTCGTTTTTATGGCTATAGCGGCAAGCTTCTGCCGGTGGATCCTTAAATTGGCAGTTGGCATTCGAAAGGTATACACGCATTTAGGTTTTTGTCGTAACGGCACTGATAGACGTAAACGGATTTATGTCACCATAGATTTCGACGTCACAGCCTGGGTTTGTCGGCCAGAGGGTGTATAATTTTATGGCGATAGAACCAAACAACAAGGGTGTTCCCCAATTTGACCGCTAGAAGGTTGTTAAACGAACGTATTACGCAGTGAGAGACGTCATGACTCACATTTCATCGTCGAGATATACATACGCATCAAGGATCGCTAATGAAATATGCCTGGAAATCTGGCTTTAAAACAGTGCGTATCGATTCACAGTTGATAAACAAAACTCGAAATCTAAGTAGACGACCAAAGGTCTATTTAACAGTACGTTTTTTCGAAGAGGACAGAAAAACAGCCTATAACTTTTACATTTTCTATCTGAAACCTATTGCGTAATGTGTTAGCTAAATATTTACGTCCATTTTATGTCTGCGCATTAATAATGACACCAGTTATTTCTGTCTGCTGTTCGTAGTACCTTTGTTTCTTCGTTTATTTTGTCTGTTCATTTCTGACAGATTGGTTAGACGAAGTAGACGGATTCGTATTTTCTGACACTTATCAGATCGTCTCTTTTCGCCCCTTACAAGAGAAACGACATTTGCTTTACCTCCGTGACGATGGCTACCAGTTGTCGATAAATCACGACAGCACCACGGTAAATAGCAACACGCGGGTGAAGTTACGTTGCGCACCGCGACAAGTGTGGCCAAAGAAAATAACAATGACGCTGATGACGACAACGACAATAAATACGGACGGAGAGCGAAAAGGATACGCCAAACTCGTCACAGCCAAAACATGAATAGGCGTGATGACAATTTGGTGGGTAGAACATGTTTTTGTTCTCATTGACAACGATATTATTGTCGACTAGGGTGAACGAACGATCGAAAAAAGGTCACTTCGCCACCTTCGGCCGTTTAACGCATCAAACAGCTACGATAGACTCCGGTTTAGATGCGCTGGGGTGCGCGAAGGAACCAGTTTGAAGAAGGAAGTGGGTGCAAAAGTTTGGGTCACTGCAGACAGAGGGAATTTCCGGGCCACAGTAGATCATACATTACACAGCCAGAGACCTCTTCAGATTTCAGCTTTGCAACAAAACAACGGTGATGTGGTCACCTTATAGAGTCAAACTGTCATTAGCAGACGACAAGCGATAACGGCTGTGAAAATAATCGACTGAGCGACATGTTTCCAATCAATGTACGATAACTGCACGGTGGGTACCCATGGCCATTCCTTTTTTTTTCGTAGACAGTTCCGCCGGATACACCCCATTTTAGCGCTGGATCTTACCATCATTGCAACCCGCCAATCCTCAAATATTCGTACTTCGTTGTTAACTGATAAGAGCAGGTAGAGAAGATATACGAAAAAAAAATACAAGCTGATCATTGTCGTGCAAAATAATGACCAGCTAACAGCAGAAGCAAGGTCATGGTGCCAAGACTGATATCAAGCACAAACCACGTATTTACGTGATCAGCGTACATTTTAGCTATTTTGCGTAGTTGTCGTTGCCATTATCGAGTATGTGACTGTTATCTTGTTGAGTTCTACTGTCTCGCAACCTCAACATTGTCCGCTTAAACGATCATCGTCTAGAGGTTGATCGTCACCGCCTGGTCATTACCATACGAATATATTAACGAACCAACGAGATAGAATGGCTGACTCACTTAGTAGCTCAGAGACACTATGGCGTCCTCTGGATTACAAACACAGATCTAACGCTGTGTATATTTATACCTATATAAAGGTTTGGCATCATGCTGACTCGACGCGCGAGGAAACTGAGGAAAAAAGGCACGACACCTACCATTTGGCTAAACAACACTGCACGTTAAGGCGGTTGGGTTGATAGAAGGTGTTGGGATAGGGGAGGTATGAAACAATTCACTTTAAATTTCATCATGAAATTGTATGCTGTGTGGGCTT